AATATTAATATTAAGGAATAAAAATTTGCAGACTAATAGAGAATAGTCTGATCTATAATTCCATCTACTTAAAATAATTAAAAACCGCGAATTAGCTCGCGGGCAATTATGAGAGCATCATTTTTAGAGCAGAAGGTACAGAAAACATGATTTTCTCACCTTTGAAAATCTATAACTCTTTTAAATATTAATATTAAGGAATAAAAATTTGCAGACTAATAGAGAATAGTCTGATCTATAATTCCATCTACTTAAAATAATTAAAAACCGCGAATTAGCTCGCGGGCAATTATGAGAGCATCATTTTTAGAGCAGAAGGTACAGAAAACATGATTTTCTCACCTTTGAAAATCTATAACTCTTTTAAATATTAATATTAAGGAAAAAAATTTGCAGACTAATAGAGAATAGTCTGATCTATAATTCCATCTACTTAAAATAATTAAAAACCGCGAATTAGCTCGCGGGCAATTATGAGAGCATCATTTTTAGAGCAGAAGGTACAGAAAACATGATTTTCTCACCTTTGAAAATCTGTAACTCTTTTAAATATTAATATTAAGGAATACAAATTTGCAGACTAATAGAGAATAGTCTGATCTATAATTCCATCTAATTAGAATGATAAAAAAACCGCGAATTAGCTCGCGGGCAATTATGAGATCATCATTTTAAGAGCAGAAGGTACAGAAAACATGATTTTCTCACCTTTGAAAATCTATAACTCTTTTAAATATTAATATTAAGGAATAAAAATTTGCAGACTAATAGAGAATAGTCTGATCTATAATTCCATCTACTTAAAATAATTAAAAACCGCGAATTAGCTCGCGGGCAATTATGAGAGCATCATTTTTAGAGCAGAAGGTACAGAAAACATGATTTTCTCACCTTTGAAAATCTGTAACTCTTTTAAATATTAATATTAAGGAATAAAAATTTGCAGACTAATAGAGAATAGTCTGATCTATAATTCCATCTACTTAAAATAATTAAAAACCGCGAATTAGCTCGCGGGCAATTATGAGAGCATCATTTTAGAGCAGAAGGTACAGAAAACATGATTTTCTCACCTTTGAAAATCTGTAACTCTTTTAAATATTAATATTAAGGAATAAAAATTTGCAGACTAATAGAGAATAGTCTGATCTATAATTCCATCTACTTAAAATAATAAAAACCGCGAATTAGCTCGCGGGCAATTATGAGAGCATCATTTTTAGAGCAGAAGGTACAGAAAACATGATTTTCTCACCTTTGAAAATCTGTAACTCTTTTAAATATTAATATTAAGGAAAAAAAATTTGCAGACTAATAGAGAATAGTCTGATCTATAATTCCATCTACTTGAAATAATAAAAAACCGCGAATTAGCTCGCGGGCAATTATGAGAGCATCAATTTAAGAGCAGAAGGTACAGAAAACATGATTTTCTCACCTTCAAAAATCTGTAACTCTTTCCAATATTAATATTAAGGAATACAAATTTGCAGACTAATAGAGAATAGTCTGATCTATAATTCCATCTACTTAAAATAATTAAAAACCGCGAATTAGCTCGCGGGGCAATTATGAGAGCATCATTTTTAGAGCAGAAGGTACAGAAAACATGATTTTCTCACCTTTGAAAATCTATAACTCTTTTAAATATTAATATTAAGGAATAAAATTTGCAGACTAATAGAGAATAGTCTGATCTATAATTCCATCTACTTAAAATAATTAAAAACCGCGAATTAGCTCGCGGGCAATTATGAGAGCATCATTTTAGAGCAGAAGGTACAGAAAACATGATTTTCTCACCTTTGAAAATCTATAACTCTTTTAAATATTAATATTAAGGAATAAAAATTTGCAGACTAATAGAGAATAGTCTGATCTATAATTCCATCTACTTAAAATAATAAAAACCGCGAATTAGCTCGCGGGCAATTATGAGAGCATCAATTTTAAGAGCAGAAGGTACAGAAAACATGATTTTCTCACCTTTGAAAATCTATAACTCTTTTAAATATTAATATTAAGGAATAAAAATTTGCAGACTAATAGAGAATAGTCTGATCTATAATTCCATCTACTTAAAATAATTAAAAACCGCGAATTAGCTCGCGGGCAATTATGAGAGCATCATTTTAGAGCAGAAGGTACAGAAAACATGATTTTCTCACCTTTGAAAATCTATAACTCTTTTAAATATTAATATTAAGGAATAAAAATTTGCAGACTAATAGAGAATAGTCTGATCTATAATTCCATCTACTTAAAATAATTAAAAACCGCGAATTAGCTCGCGGGCAATTATGAGAGCATCATTTTTAGAGCAGAAGGTACAGAAAACATGATTTTCTCACCTTGAAAATCTGTAACTCTTTTAAATATAATTTAAGGAAAAAAATTTGCAGACTAATAGAGAATAGTCTGATCTATAATTCCATCTACTTAAAATAATTAAAACCGCGAATTAGCTCGCGGGCAATTATGAGAGCATCATTTTTAGAGCAGAAGGTACAGAAAACATGATTTTCCTCACCTTTGAAAATCTATAACTCTTTTAAATATTAATATTAAGGAATAAAAATTGCAGACTAATAGAGAATAGTCTGATCTATAATTCCATCTAATTAGAATGATAAAAAAACCGCGAATTAGCTCGCGGGCAATTATAAGATCATCAATTTAAAAGCAGAAGGTACAGAAAATCATGTTTTCTCACCTTTGAAAATCTGTAACTCTTTTAAATATTAATATTAAGGAATAAAAATTTGCAGACTAATAGAGAATAGTCTGATCTATAATTCCATCTACTTAAAATAATAAAAACCGCGAATTAGCTCGCGGGCAATATGAGAGCATCATTTTTAGAGCAGAAGGTACAGAAAACATGATTTTCTCACCTTTGAAAATCTGTAACTCTTTTAAATATTAATATTAAGGAATAAAAATTTGCAGACTAATAGAGAATAGTCTGATCTATAATTCCATCTACTTAAATAATTAAAAACCCGCGAATTAGCTCGCGGGCAATTATGAGAGCATCATTTTTAGAGCAGAAGGTACAGAAAACATGATTTTCTCACCTTTGAAAATCTATAACTCTTTTAAATATTAATATTAAGGAATAAAAATTTGCAGACTAATAGAGAATAGTCTGATCTATAATTCCATCTACTTAAAATAATAAAAAACCGCGAATTAGCTCGCGGGCAATTATGAGAGCATCATTTTTAGAGCAGAAGGTACAGAAAACATGATTTTCTCACCTTTGAAAATCTGTAACTCTTTTAAATATTAATATTAAGGAAAAAAAATTGCAGACTAATAGAGAATAGTCTGATCTATAATTCCATCTACTTGAAATAATAAAAAACCGCGAATTAGCTCGCGGGCAATTATGAGAGCATCAATTTAAGAGCAGAAGGTACAGAAAACATGATTTTCTCACCTCAAAAATCTGTAACTCTTTCCAATATTAATATTAAGGAATACAAATTTGCAGACTAATAGAGAATAGTCTGATCTATAATTCCATCTACTTAAAATAATTAAAAACCGCGAATTAGCTCGCGGGCAATTATGAGAGCATCATTTTTAGAGCAGAAGGTACAGAAAACATGATTTTCTCACCTTGAAAATCTATAACTCTTTAAATATTAATATTAAGGAATAAAAATTTGCAGACTAATAGAGAATAGTCTGATCTATAATTCCATCTACTTAAAATAATTAAAAACCGCGAATTAGCTCGCGGGCAATTATGAGAGCATCATTTTTAGAGCAGAAGGTACAGAAAACATGATTTTCTCACCTTTGAAAATCTATAACTCTTTTAAATATTAATATTAAGGAATAAAAATTTGCAGACTAATAGAGAATAGTCTGATCTATAATTCCATCTACTTAAAATAATTAAAAACCGCGAATTAGCTCGCGGGCAATTATGAGAGCATCATTTTTAGAGCAGAAGGTACAGAAAACATGATTTTCTCACCTTTGAAAATCTGTAACTCTTTTAAATATTAATATTAAGGAAAAAAAATTTGCAGACTAATAGAGAATAGTCTGATCTATAATTCCATCTACTTAAAATAATTAAAAACCGCGAATTAGCTCGCGGGCAATTATGAGAGCATCATTTTTAGAGCAGAAGGTACAGAAAACATGATTTTCTCACCTTCAAAAATCTGTAACTCTTTTAATATTAATATTAAGGAATAAAAATTTGCAGACTAATAGAGAATAGTCTGATCTGTAATTCCATCTAATTAGAATGATAAAAAACCGCGAATTAGCTCGCGGGCAATTATGAGAGCATCATTTTTAGAGCAGAAGGTACAGAAAACATGATTTTCTCACCTTCAAAATCTGTAACTCTTTTAAATATTAATATTAAGGAATAAAAATTTGCAGACTAATAGAGAATAGTCTGATCTATAATTCCATCTACTTAAAATAATTATTAATCGCGAATTAGCTTGCGGGCAATTATGAGAGCATCAATTTCAGAGCAGATGGTACGGAAAACATGGTTTTCTCACCTACAAAAACCCTGCATTTTCCGTACTTCTCAACATCTGTAACTTTTTTTAATATTAATATATTTTGCCTACTCTGGCCAACAATAAATTGTTGCTCAACGAAAACCACGTGAAGGTGGTAGGCATCTTTCGTCAGGAGGGATAGGATATAGGATGGGTAAAGGGTTGGTTTTATTCTAACTTCTCAGTGATATGCGTTTCTAATAGGTTCGATTTTGCAAATCGAAAATTTTGACGTATCTGCACTGGGAAATTAGTTGTGTGGTATTTTGTATTGCAGTTTGACCGCTTTTTTTTCTTTTTTGTTTTTATTCTTTGTTCACTTTTTCGACCTGTCGTCATTTTCGTGGTTCTTTACACATAGTTTTCCTTTCATCCTGTTCCTTTTCCACTTTATTTTCGATGTGACGGTTTTTCTTATTTCAATAGTTTATCATTCTGTCATTTTTTTCACGCAATCTTCGCCTATTCTTCATCGTCACTTTCACTTTCTTCGGAAGTGTCGTTCCCATCGCTGTCAGTATTTTCAGCTTCTACAATCGATTCGATCCTATCTGAAATTTTCTTCGCGAGCTCACGAGACTTATCTTCCTCTTTCTTTGCGTGCTCAATGCATCGTGGCCATAGCGTTGGCGGAACAGAATCCATCGCTTCGACGCATAGCTGATGAACATCATGGACTTTAAAAGTCTTATTACGTTTTGCGACGTAATTTTTCACGTATGCCCATACTAATTCGATGGGGTTATATTCGCAATGAGCTACAGGGAGCCAGAGAATTTTGACTTCGTCATTTCTTATTTCTCTTGTAACTTTGTTCAACACATAATGTCTTGAGTAGTGGTGAGGTCTCGCTAAGTTGAGCAGTTCATTCCTGTTGAGGTCTTCGAAATGCTCAACATACGACGGGACTTCTACCTCACGCTTTATCAGCCATTCAATTATCTGGAGCTTTCTCCATTGCGTTGTAGGATTGCGAAATTCTGGATCCAGCATCGTGTGGTATGGCGCTTGATCTAGTACGATCACCGATTTCTTCGGTAGTACGCGTAGTACGTCTGCAATCCATTCTTGGTAATGCTGAGCGTTCATTTCGTCATGATAATCGTTGGATCCTTTTATTCCTACAAAGCATTTCATCGCTCCAGGTACAAATCCGTCATCTCCTCCAATGTGCAACATGATGACTCTTTTCCCTGCTCCAGAAGGTGTGATAAAACCACCTCTTTCTCCGTACACTTCTTGTACTTTTTCGCGATATAATTCACAGCTGTCAAATTGACTTGTGTCAATTTGTTCGGTCCATCCATATTTCCTGCTATGATTGGCTCCACACCATGACTCGTCTGTGTAAAAGATCTTGTATCCTTTGTCACGATATTCTTGGATTTCTCTCAAGTAATTATCGCGTTGCCCTGCGATTTTTATACTTTCCATCCATACGGGTTTTTTTGCCAGTTTTCTATAAGAAAAATGCAATTTCTTCATCCATTTTTCAGTGTGGAAACTTTGAATTCAGGAAGATCCAGTACTTCGTTCTTCAAATCTTCATATAATGCTGATGTTGTGGGAAATTCCTTTCTTGCATAAAAATTGTGGATTCTTTTTCTTATTAAACCTTGCAAGTTTTCGTCGCAAGGAATAGACGGCCTTCCACTTCTTTCTGAAGTTATAACTTCGCCGTTTTTTCGCCACTCGCTCGTGATCCGCTTCACCGTTCTCTCTGAAATTTGCAGACATTCTGCCGTCCTCCTGATGACCTGCGTGATATCGTTCGCTCCATTGTTTTTTTCATTGTCGAAATAATTCCGAGCGTTCACGACCATTTGCTTCTCACTCTCAGTCAAATTTCGGCGCGAAGATTGCGTATCATCCACCTTCGGATTTTTTTTTATAACTTTACAGTCTTCTACATGTGATTTATTTAAATCTGTAGACGACGAATCATCGTCACTGACATGTAAAGGAGAACTTGCAGTCCTCTTTGAAGAACTTTCTTCAAATTCAATGGGACCAACCTCCATGACGTCATTAATATCCTCTTCACTGTAATTTTTTTTGAGGATTCGAAAATGTCCATCTCGGTCACTTTCAGAATGTTGCCCCAGTAAATAACAAATATAAATCTTCCGTTGCATGCAAATTACGGAATTCTAAATTGAAATAAGAATTATCAGCGTTCTGACGGATAATAATTAAATTGACAGCAAAGTGTTGTGCTGCGGCTCGACATCTAAGAGTGACGCAAAAATTCCTTGATTTCCCATCATAGATTGGTATTGCGAAGAACTTGCTATATTAAAATAACAATGAGCATCTTCACAATAATCTGCCCAATTTTCCACGACATGAGATACTATCTTTTGACGTACTTTAAATGATCCACGAATATTTAATAATTTACTGAGGCAATTGAAGAAACAATCTCCATTGCCACCAGCATCAATGATATGGAACATCATATCGTTTACCGAAACCATACTATCCATAATGATACGAAAAAAGAATAAACGGATCGAAAATCGCTATTAAAAAATTATTACCTTTTATCAGCAGAACCACCGAGATGACGTAGTACAGTGAAAACAGAATAAAATTCACACACATACACAGACAGAATTCCACTGATAATGTATAATACCAAAAAAAAAAAATGCTCACCAGAAAACAATATCTAAAATCACAGCGTTAAACAATGCAAAAACAGTTGCTAATGGAAATAAATGCACGAATTATCGGCAGTTAAGAAGTCAAGAATGAACATTCAAACGATAAATATACGAAGAGTATTTCACCGAACGAGCAAAAGTTCACGACTGGCTGTCAAACATGAAAAGGGAAAATTTTCAGTGAAAATTACTGGAATAAGTAATTTTTGCAAATGTAGTGGGGGGGGCAGGATTGCTAGGAGACAAATAAATTAGAAGACAAGGTCGAAAGGAACATCAAGACAAAATATGCATCCAGGCAGCTATTGACGTTAGCAGAAAGAAAGACCAAAAGAAAATATCGGGTAAGATGAGAATACGATTTAAATGACTGCAAGACACGGAAAGTCAAATATTTAAACCGAGAAACAACGAAGAGAGACATTAAAAGGAAAACTATGGATGCAGCGTGGGAAAAAGTACAAAAGCCTAAGGTTCAGAACAATGGAAAATAGACAATTATTGGATGCCAAATATTCCCAAAGTTTCAAGGGGCAATTGAGTCGGAAAGGGACAATCTTAACGACGAGGGAATATACCTGGGCGGAGAAGGCCCGGCGTACAAGTCGGAAAACCGAAGTCAGGTCTGTGAGGATTATTGACCCTTATTCTCTCATAATTGTCCGCAAACCAATTCGCGGTTTTTAATTATTTTAAGTAGATGGAATTATAGGTCAGACTATTCTCTATTAGTCTGCCAAATTTTTTATTCCTTAATATTAATATTTGGAAAGAGTTACAGATTTTCGAAAGGTGAGAAAATCATGTTTTCTGAACCTTCTGCTCTTAAATTGATGCTCTCATAATTGCCCGCGAGCTAATTCGCGGTTTTTTATTATTTCAAGTAGATGGAATTATAGATCAGACTATTCTCTATTAGTCTGCAAATTTTTTTTCCTTAATATTAATATTGGAAAGAGTTACAGATTTTTGAAGGTGAGAAAATCATGTTTTCTGTACCTTCTGCTCTTAAATTGATGCTCTCATAATTGCCCGCGAGCTAATTCGCGGTTTTTTTATCATTCTAATTAGATGGAATTATAGATCAGACTATTCTCTATTAGTCTGCAAATTTTTTTTCCTTAATATTAATATTTAAAAGAGTTATAGATTTTCAAAGGTGAGAAAATCATGTTTTCTGTACCTTCTGCTCTTAAATTGATGCTCTCATAATTGCCCACGAGCTAATTCGCGGTTTTTTTATCATTCTAATTAGATGGAATTATAGATCAGACTATTCTCTATTAGTCTGCAAATTTTTATTCCTTAATATTAATATTGGAAAGAGTTACAGATTTTTGAAGGTGAGGAAATCATGTTTTCTTTTCTTTATTTTCTGTACTGGATGCTTCCGTGCAAGTTGTGTCTATCTTCTTTTGCCCCTCAAATATTTTACCTATTTTACGCCCTTCTGTGTGTCATTCTTTTATGATGTTTGTTGAAAAATATAGTTTTTTTCTTACTTTTATATGTTTAAGCTTCTATATGAGAAGAAAAGTTTTACGATGGATTATCCTTGCCGTTAATGACTGTCATAAACACCTGCATGATTTTTTGAATGTTATGTATTTTCGCGGTTTCTTTTTTTTCTCTATCTATTATTCGCGATACATTCTCTATAATTTTTTTTCTTTCATGTCGATGTTGTCTCATTTTTCTATCATCATTTGGTGCCGAGATATTGTCCTCTGATATTATTTGTTGTAACTTTTTTGTTTATTAAAAAAAATTTTTTTTTCCAACTTAATTTTATTTCTAAACGTCTTCCCTAACTACGATAAAATTTTCAATTCGATCCCTATATTTTTCGCATTGCTACGATCGTGTAAACTTCCCTCATGAAAAATTGACCTCTAAAAACATGGTTTTTTACTCTAAAAAATTCTGTAACTCGCGAAGTTTTTAATTCATTGCATTGAAATTTTCAGAGAAGTTGTAGAATCGGATTCTCTTTCCATTGATTCCTCACGCAACTTAATGAGATTATTATTTTTTTTTATATCGCTTTTGAAAGTGAGGGGCCTATACTTTTTACGCCGATAATAGTGTGCTTGTTGGGATAGGCTGCAGAATTTTTTAATATAACAATTTTTGAAGTAATAATTTTTTATTTTATTAATAACAAAAACAAAACAAAAAATAAAGCAAATTTGGATTATTGAATTAATCAATAAATTCCCTACTGATGAAGACCTATAACGCAAGTGTCAACGTATTTTTTTTTTTATACATTTGGTTATTATTCGAGTAATGTTCTTTATACAATTATGACTTTTAGTCCATATTTATACAGCTATCATTTATTCGACATTTACACAACGCAGAACATGTAAAACCAACAGAATCACAAGGGCACGTCGATTTTTCACATCTTGTACAATTTCAGTTCGGTATTAAATCCTCCATCGGCGGTAATATCATGACGATCTTCTTTGGTATAAGGATTCTATCTTCTTCCGCATAGCCATAGTCTATTTGATTTATTTCCTCGCGATTTTCGTAATTCAGTATGTTGGTCTGTTTTCAAGTCAGGTACATTGCACGTAAAATGTGTTGTTTAATAGCAGCACTGGTTGGTGGCAACTCCGATGCGGCAAAATTTGATCCATAATGATATTGCCAATATTAAAGTTGATCGAACGTTTCTGATGGATTTCCGGTCCTGATCACTTGAACTAAGTATTCTTTTGCTGCAGAAACTGCTTCTGAAGAGTTGCGCGGATCTATCACAATAATTAGAACAAGCTGTAAATAAATGTTCAAAATCTATATAGTAACAGTTACTGTGATACACACAAAAAAAACATACCTGTCGTGAACAGTGACAAATATTTCGTGGCATCGATTTTCAATGCATTATTTTTTGTTCCAATCTTGCTGGTACAAGAGGACTCAGTTAAGTTATGAATCGCTGGTAAAAGAAGAGTTTTTTCTCCGTATGATGCAGCTATCGTATAAATGGGAATAACTTTTGGCCCTAAACCTAAGTCATACTCAACCCATAGTTGTTCTAAATGTCAGGCCACAAGACTTAACTACGTTCAAGAAGATATTTGCTCAGATAACTTTGCAGTTTTAAGTTATTTTCAATATTCGACCAAAAACATTGTGGTAATTTCGGTAGCGGGACATTGTCATCTATATTACTCAAAGTGATTGTTTGTTTATTACTATTAGAACAGTAAAAAAATGATTTTATTAAAATATTATTGGACCTTTAGTTGAATATTGTTTGAATTAAATACATACCTGGAGACGAATTGAGTAGATCATAGAATTGTGGATGCTAATAACACTTGAATGACATCAATTCTAATTAAGTTCGGCGCAATACAGATTGCCATTTGCTTTATAAACGCTCCTGCTAAATCTCTGAACTTCTTTAAGCCTTTCCACTTAATTTTTTTGCATTCGTGTCGAAGTTTATACTTCCTGTTTCAGTAAAAAGACTATTATATGGTGTTAAGTCATATGTAAACAGTTTTTCTAAACTATAATTACGCTCTCTAGCTAGATCAATTATTTATCATTGTCATCTTCAATAAATGTTAATTTTTTGAATAAGTTTGTAACTGCTAATTCTTCATGGTAAACAAGTTTTCACTGAGTCACGAACTCCTTCTTTCTTGTTGATCCGATGATTCCAGAAACACTTTTCATTGATCGGTTAATAGTTTTTTCTAATGCTTGATCGACCGCAGTAGATAAAAATGATGAATTAGATAGTTT